GCCTATCAAAAAATGGTTCATCAAATATCCAAGAGCAAAAAAAGAAAATCTAGTTATGAAATCAGCGATCTTGTACGAGTAGCTATCCCAAAAATAGATAGATTTAGTATTGATCAGCCAAATTTTCCATGCAGATTAACGAAGAATTTTATGCACAGAAGTAGTGTTAGTTATATCAGAAAGCTGAGTGGTGGTATCATTAATACTGGTATTGTTAATGATAGTGCTGTTAATAGTGGTATTGTTAGTGGTAGTGCCATTGGTAGTAGTATCATTAGTGGTAGTGCTATTGGTAGTAGTATCATTAGTAGCGGTATTGCTAGTAGTAGTGTTATTAGGAATATTGCCATTTTCTTATATGTAAAGTCAGTACAATTATTGTTAATTAAAAAAAAAAAAGTAACAGAAATATTTACCTTCATAATCATTATCGAGATTTTCAATAGAATCAGAATTTTGAATTTTTATTGTATCAAGTATAGCCTCTTCATCTCTAATATTCCTTAAAAAAAGTTCATTAATTAATATACAATTTTCATAAGGTTTGCAACTATATACAAGTTCATATAGGGTTTTTTGATAAGAACAGCAATAACTATTATTCATGGAAGCTATTATAAATCAAAGTCTGAATGACTAGTCACTTCATCCTATATTTTCTTTCCACTTGCCGAGTTTTTGCTGAAGGATCCTGTTAGCATGCTCAACCAACCCTTGGGACTATGGGTGGTGTGGTCGCCCATTGATTATTTTTACTGACGGCCATATTTTAATAAGTTCTGTAATCACCAATGTGCAAAATTCTTTGCTATTGTCAGATTGTAATATAATTGGGGGGAGCACAAAGAATAAAATAGATCAAATAAATAAGCTGCGACCTTCACAGCCCGTTTAGAGGTAAGAGATTTGGACTATGAAAACTGACTAAAATGATTTCTAATGTGGCAAATATATTTATAATCACCATCAACATCGAATGACAAGTCAATTAAATCTATCTATTAATTTTAAATTAAATTATTAAAATGAAATATTAATTGTTTAAAAGACCATGCCATAATATTATTAACTTACTTGCATTCACGATAAAAAATTTCAGGCAATAATAGGTTTTGCTACTAATGGGTAAAAAGAAAACTTTCTCATGACACAAATGGTACAATTATTAACAAACTTTTCAACAATTTCTTGTCTGATCTATCCCCATTTCTCTTGAATAGACTTCCATAGCTGCTTTTGTCTTCTATGTTGATCTACTTCGGCATGAGTTTTACAAAAAACTTTGTATATTTTTCAATAACCAAGATCAGCTTATTATTTTTTTTTATTACTACCCGAAATTCATTAGATGTTATTTCTTTAAGATGAAACCATTTTTTTGTTCAGTCTCTAGTGTTTTTGTTACTGGTACCAATATCATTAGGATTTTTTAAAATTAGTTTAATTTGATTATAAAGCTCTATATTTATTAACGCCTTTGATTATTTGCATTCAGGTAGGCTAATTATGTAGTTATCGACAATATCATAAAATGTCTTTAAACTAATAAATTCAAATTCTATTTTTAATAAGATGTGATAGGAATTATTGGGTAAGTATCTCTTATTTTCTATTTAAACACTTACTATTTATTTGATTTTTTTTTTTTGATTTTCTAATTACATCAT